AACTCACCAGCACAATGGCCCCAAGAACAGCCCCTTTACACCCCAACAGATGCCGCTTTTCAGAACATACATTGCCCAGTGCTTTCCCTTCTGCTCTCTGTCACGCACACCAGCCCACTGTATTTTAGGACAGACAGGGGAAATGTGGCAGCAGTGTCTCCTTGCCTTAAATTTCCCAGTGTTCTGGCCAATTTTTATTTCAATCCTCCTTCTGGAGCGAATCCCACAATAAATGTTATTTCAGACTAAAACTAAAATGAAAAATAGGATGTTTTGTGAAAATACTGTTTTTTTTTTCACTGCATAAAAATTCAGCATATTTTCCCTCCAAGTTTTCATTTTTGTAATGCATTCAGACATTTTTCTTTCTCATTAGATTGTCATGACTGTAAAACACTATGTATTTTTGTTTTTGTTTAAATCTGCAAAAAATAAAGGCTATATACGAACAAACTAGCATGATCGATGAATTCTGTTGAATTTAAATCATATTTATTTAATCATTTATTTATAGCAGTTATGAGAATTCGGGTGAGATGGGGGAGTGTGTTGCCTGCTTGTCATAATTAATTGTCTAAAAATATTTTTAGCAAAATATAATTTCTTATTTCTGTTGGGGTGAAATGTAATTTTGACAGTTTTTTTTTTTTTCAGCCACTGGCTTAATTGGCACCCTCCATATCTCTCTTTCCTACGGCACACTCGTTTCTAATTTTGTGTGACACTAAGTTCAATGGTATGTCACACCCAGAAAACCGAAATGGGAACTGTGCCCAGATAATAAAAACAGGGGCAAAAAGTTGGAATAAATCCCAGTCTGACACAGCAGTTCTTTTTCTCTTTCATTTAATCTGCCACAAAAAAAAAGAAAAACCTCTATTAGTCATTAGTCCGACACCTGTAACCCAAGAAATAAACACAGATAAATACAGACTGTAACACCATTAAGGAAAAATAAATATAACGACCTGCTGTTGCTTAAACCTGACCCGCTAATTCTTCCAAGATAAACAAACCGAGTAAAAAGAAAAAAGCTGTAATGCACTTATATATTTATAAATAAACCACATCATTCCACAGCAGCATCTGCGTCTAAAATAAATTAATTCATCTTTTTTTCCCCAAAAAATCAATGCAGCAGGGGAAAATTAATGTGCATAACTTTTCACACTGAATCTGAAGTGTGTACTTCCTCATATAAATGTTTAATATGCAGAAATACCTTAAAGCCCTTCATAGGCTTATTTCCCTAAAAAATTGAGTTGAAAATAAATTGATTGGGCATCTTATTCTTGGAAAGACGTATGTTTGTTGCCCCACTATCCCTAAAGGAGTGCGATGTGTGGGCCACTTCCTCGTTCCCATCTTCACTCTCTCAGCAATTTATTCCACTGAACTAAATGCCCATTTACACCTAATTCTTTCTCCTGTCACATTGACCTGATGCTTATTATTGATCTCAGCAACCTTGGCTCAGAAAGGCAGTGATAAAGCAGAGACTTCTGGAAGCCCTGTCTGCCTCGGGTCCCCGGAGCCCATAGGGTTGAATGGCCTGTCCACGCAACATCCATATCTCTGTGTTAATTAAAGACTTCCCCTCTACACGATCACTACGCTCTCAACAAATCTCTCGATGCCGTGCTAGTTTTCTTTTTCCTTTTTGGCTACAGCTCATTCTCTCCTGTAGGATCGCTTTTTCTTGAACTCGCTGTAATCAAAAGAAGTGGGACGGTTTCCCAAGGTTGAGCGTGAATCTAATTGTTCCTTTACTGAAAGGAATATGAATCATTCCTTGTTGATATAGTATGCTGTTTGTTTAAACAAGCCAAGGTTGATGTAAAAACCTTCATTAGCTGTCAAGATTGCTAGTAGGTGTTATTACTCACTATTTAGTAGTTGTCGTGTCACATGGTTTTACCTCAAATGCAATCAACCTCTCTCACCTGTCTTTTCAAAAGATGTGTGCTCTTAATTTAGGTAGATAAGAAGGAAAGTATTTTGGTAGAGCATTGAATGTAGCTTGTTGATCTGCATGCATACAATGTAATCATGATGGTTTAATTGAAAGGTAATTGATTGTGAAGTGATGCAGAGAGTACTCCACACTCGAGTTATACGGTAAACATCCACTCGTCGTTTTATTCGATGAAGTTCTGACACTCCACGGTAATTTTGATGAATTTGCCAGGCAGGTTTCCTCATTGAACTGGTGAACACAGATGAAAGACCAGCGTGCAGCTTCCCACTTAATGACACCACGCACAATGTGTAATTGAAAAGGCACAAACCAAAAAGCATAAAATGTAATTTCCCCACTCTTTCATCCACCCCATTCACTCTTTTCTCGGCTTGCTCCCTCCATTATATTGTTTCTTAGCTCCGGTGTGTGGGGCTGGAGCTGAGAAGCAGCAATTTATTGCCTGTCGTACCTCTGTAGCATAACACCTCAGAGTTCTAAAGCCCTGGATAACATCAAAATGGGAATGGTTTCATTTGTAATACTGACAATAAAGCGTATTGTGTCGTACTTTAGATAAAGCATTTGTTATTGCTATTGTTCTGTAGGAGAATCCTCCAATGCAGTATATATAAAGTGCTAGCTCATTCTGAAGGTGAACTTGTGTGACTTAGTGTCTCTATTTTCCTTTTTTTCTCAGTGGGAGGAAGTTAGCGGTTACGACGATGCCATGAACCCTATCCGAACGTACCAAGTGTGCAACGTTCGTGAGCTTAACCAGAACAACTGGCTTCGCAGCGACTTCATCCCTCGAAAGGACGTTCTCCGTGTTTATGTGGAGATGAAGTTCACTGTACGAGATTGCAACAGTATTCCCAACATTCCAGGATCATGTAAAGAGACCTTCAATCTATTCTACTACGAGTCCGACTCAGATTCCGCCACATCTACCAGTCCTTTTTGGATGGAGAACCCTTATGTTAAGGTGGACACCGTTGCTCCGGACGAGAGCTTCTCTATGTTGGAGTCTGGCCGGGTCAATACCAAGATTCGCAGCTTTGGTCCAGTTTCCAAGGCTGGCTTCTATCTGGCTTTCCAGGACCTGGGCGCCTGCATGTCTTTAATCTCCGTTCGAGTTTTCTACAAGAAGTGTTCCACGACCATTGCCAATTTTGCCGTCTTCCCAGAGACGGCCACAGGAGCTGAGGCTACGTCACTAGTCATTGCCCCCGGCACTTGTGTGCCGAACGCTCTGGAGGTGTCTGTCCCTCTTAAACTCTACTGCAATGGAGATGGAGAGTGGATGGTTCCTGTAGGTTCCTGCACTTGCATGGCTGGGTTCGAGCCTGCAGTTAAGGACACACAGTGTCAAGGTGAGTGCTGATATATGTGTTTTTCTCACTGTGCAATTTGTCTTATCTCTCGGTATCACATTAAGCCAAATGGACGAATCATCCTATTTTTTTTATTGAGGTCTTTGGCCTAACAGCAAATTTGGTTATTCGACCTCAATTTAAGCAGAGCAAAGCAATGCATAAGTCTGTATGTCTATCAGAGTGGAACATTTTGCTGAGAGAAAGGAGCGGTCTTGATGAAAAACATATCAGGTTCAGGCTGAGGTGAATTAAGCCAGCGTGTAACATAGCCGCGGTGAAAGTGAGCAGAGCAGACAGTGGGAGGTCAAGGGTCAAATGGAGAGCTGGGAGTGAGAGGAGACCGGAATCGATTTGCCGACCAAGGGCAAGGGCTGCAGTGAAACATTAATGAAGAGCACGAGATGGAGAAAGAAAAGTAACCCTGACAGTCAAGGCACCAGAAGTGAAAGGTCGCAAAGAGACAGTTGGTTCCAGCACATTAAAATAACTACAAAGACAGAGCCACTGAGCAGTGAACCTCTGGGGTAAAGAACTAAACTGAACAGCAAATCGTTTGTGTATAGAGAAAAGAAGATTATTTGTGGTGTATGAGGTAATCATAACTGTTATGATTGTTCATACAGAGGGTTGGAGATTTACACAAACGCTTAACCCTGAGTATTAATAGTGTGTAGTTCGCCCTACACATACATAAATGCTGCTTTAAACTGTATACTTCTAATTATATATATATATATATATATATATATATATATATATATACAATAGAAATTAGTTCATTGTTCATTAATGATTTAATTAATCAGTGATTGTTGCAAAGCTCCCAAGTTAATATTATCCCTGCACTAATGAAGCCTTGTGTCAATATTGCACATTTTGAGATAGGAAACTTGAAAGGTGACCTCAGGAACATCATCAATGTTGTCCAGAAACCAGATGTTAAATTTTTTTTTTTCTAAAAAAACATAGCAACTTATCGTTATTTGCTGTTTCTAAGCCTTACTGATAAAACAGCTCGGTAGGTTGGGAACTGTTGTCCTACTCCTTTCCTTGTTTGTAATAAACATAAAACTGACTACTTGATCAGTTGAGTGATATTTTGAGCAGATATATCACACTGGCATTGTGTGCCAGGGTGCCTCTGCTTTTATCATAGATGCGATACAATGTGTACACAATCTCCATAAATGGTGTCAGAGCTCCACAAAGGCCAAAGACCTGTGAATGACACACTAATCTTTCTATTCATAAGATAACAGCTCACACTTTCCCTTGTAGTCTTTAATATGATTTGTTTATCTTAGAGGAACACTTCCTGTAGTACAACATTGACATTCCCTGTGTTTGAGTATTGATTGAAGGAGTTCATTTCGAAAAGTGCTCTTGTTTTGAACTAACAGGCATGTGTTTGTAATTGAAGTTGACGGTTAGCATATGCACATGGGGTTTATGCAAGGCCAGGGCATGTTGCTGGAACTCGTCTAGTCATGAGGGGGTTATTTCCCTGGAGGAAAACAACAGCAAATTAACGGTGCCAAACAAATACGTAAGCAAGAATCTGTGCGCCTTCGTATTTTACAATGCCAAGATGGAAAGGATTAGACTGCATACTGTGGGCGAGGAAAACAAAAGTAAGAATCTAAATTAAGGCAAGCAGAGCTCACAAAATGCAAATTGAAAAAAGGAAATTGCTATTGATTTTGCTGCTGAATGCAATGAAAAGATACCTAGATGGAAGCATGCACCAAAAATGAGTAGCAAAAAAGTAAATATGCTGTTTTAGCTATGAGTTTCTATCTCTGACAGTTGAAGTAAACAACTCTTTCTCTCTTTAGCTTGCAGTCCGGGAACTTTTAAGTCGAAGCAGGGTGAAGGGTTCTGCTCCCCGTGTCCGCCCAACAGCCGGACAAGTTCTGGAGCCGCCAGCATCTGTTCCTGCAGGACCGGCTACTATCGGGCGGACAATGACTCGCCTGACTCAGGATGCACCAGTGAGTAATGTCCTTGAATAAACTGCCATTTCACCCACCATGAACTTATCTAAACATAAGAGGTGTTGTTTATTTGCCATGTTCTCAGCTCTCAAAAGCCACATCGATCCAAACACCATATGTACGTTCATATGTTCATCCATATGTAAAGCAATTCCTCCGTCCAACACGCAGAAGACTACTGGGATTGTTTCGAAACGTTTCCCTTTCTCCTGTTTTATATTAGCTCCTTTCTGCTTGTGTTCATTGTCAGCACTCTGAACAGATACATGCAAAAAAAAAATGTTTTCCCAAGTGAACACCACAGCTATTTCTAGCCATTTTTGATGTTAAACAGCACAAGTGGGGAAAACAAGGTTCCCTTTCATGGGAACTTCGAACTGCGTCCTCTAGGGGTCGCTATGGGGAACGCCTCGTATTTTAGTTACATGAAAGCACTTAATCCGCATTAAGTTTAGCCCCATTTGACCAATTTTATTTACATTTCCTGCTTAAAAACATTTTAAACTAGCCTAATTTGGTCTGATGGTCTTAGCTGCTTACCAGGTTGGTTTCCTCTGCTCAGGCACTGCTTAGTTTGGAAGTTTTGTTGGGGTATAGGGAATTTGTCAGTTGGTCAGCCAAACCAGCTTTGTGAAATAAAGCTAACTGAACACAACCTTTGCTAACGGACCTGCTGGGAAAGCAACTAACCAAGGTTAAACCTGCTAACACAACAAAACATATTTTATTTTTGCAGCCATGCCTTCAGCTCCACGCAGCGTCATCTCCAGTGTAAATGAGACGTCTCTTGTACTTGAGTGGAGCGAGCCACGTGACCAAGGTGGAAGGGAGGACCTTCTCTACAATGTCATCTGTAAGAAATGTCTGCCTGAACGTGGTACCTGCACACGATGTGATGACAACGTGGATATCTCTCCCCGCCACCTTGGGCTTACTGAGAGACATGTGACGGTCAGAAACCTTCAGGCTCACACCCAGTACAGCTTTGAGATTCAGGCCGTCAATGGAGTCTCCAACAAGAATCCGTATGCACCCCAGTTTGCCTCCGTTAACATCACCACCAACCAGGCTGGTGAGTTCAGTGATTTCTTTCGATTTAAAGCTGTTACCATCCGTCATGGTTCTAGAGTTCTAGAGACTCTAATAACCAGCCTTGACCAGCTAGATCTGCTACCATGTTCCAACAGGCTACAAATATTCTCTTCCATGTGTGTCCTTAAAGGTTACAAAAAAAATGTTCTTGACATGCTCTAGTTTGAAATAATGAAGTGTAATGGCCTCTCTTAAGATATTTGCAACCCACGGCATGTTACCCAAAGAGCTCAGCCCACAGAATGCATCGATGCCAGAGAGCTGTGCTATGAGGCTCGGTAGCAAAGATACTCTAGGCTAGAGTGTGCTGGGTTAATGAGATGTGGAGATGCATTAACCTTGTGAAAAAAGCCACTTATTGTGTGATTTCAAGTTTTGAAATGACACTGGACTTCGCAGGAGAGTTATGCATATGCATAACCCTCTCTTTGGCACTCTATGCTAGCACCCAGGTCCAAGAATGCCTCTGTTTGCTATCAGGGATTGACCGCAGGCATTGTCATATAACCCGGGCAGTTGTTGCACATGAGTCAATCCCGGGGTGACATGCACACCCACACAGCAGCCCACCCCCATGGTTCCAAAAATTCAGAAGGGTCTGTGATCAGATTATCCCCCAGGACTGTGCTTTAATATTCATCCGCCTTTTAAGACAAAAAATAAATATGGGCCATCAGCTCAAGGGACGTCATGGTTACTTCCACTGTCTCCTCAAGATGAGGCCCCTTAATCCTGGGGTGAAAGTAAGCAAGCAGGCTGCCCATGGATCATTGTCTTCAGGGTGAGGCTTTTCTGAGCAAGGCCTGGGTTAGGAGGTTGATGGTGTTGGGTTGGGGGAGAGTAAGCTTTTGGGGGAGGTGGACAAAGAGACAGGCAGAATAATAAAGAGCTACTAGGGAAAGGATCAAAGAACCGGACCTGGGGATTAAAACGCTTTTAACAAAAGAATGAGTGAGGGAGAAAGAGACAGAGGCAAGAAAGTAGGGGATATTGAGAGCTACTGTAGTGTGTGAACAGAACTTGATAACATCAGAAACCGGAGATGGCAACATCAGGTCTGAGGACAAATGGGGATGATACAGATTATGTAAAGCTAAGATAAGGAAGGAGCTATGGAAGAAGTTGTGTTAACACGAATATATGGGTTAAAAAAAAGCCCAGGTTACGTTTAATCCTAAAAACAAACAATAGATTATATCTTGCATAAAGTCAGTGTTACAGGATATGATAATTACCCCAAAATTTATTAAATTAATTAAAATTAATTAAATGAAATTAAAGACAGCACAACTTACACTAACATGATGTAAAAATACTTTACAATTTAAACAGTAATTTGGCAAAGAAAGTGCATAATTGTCAAAAAAATATGAGATTATGGAAGACAGACAGTAAGAAGTCATCATGGGTCATAACAAAGAGTATAGGGAGTGGACAGAGGGTGTGTGCAGCTATGCATATATCTGCATGTGTTTGTAGGTTGTGTGGACTGGATGTGCCAGATACTAAGCCTTCCGGTTTGTCTGTCATGGTACTTTTCACAAGAGACTTTAGAATTCATTATGTCTGTGCAGTTTAAGAGGCTGGGGCCCCGAAAGGGCCCAAGACTAAGAGCTGTCTGATGCCTACACATGAAAGCAGCCTTTTGGTAATCCTGAATGGGAGCATGCTCTAAATGTGAAAAATAGAAATTCAGCTTTTATTAAGATAGGATTTCTCTCATTTTCTTCTCTCATTTTCCCCACACAGCTCCCTCTGCAGTTCCTACCGTCCACCTGATGGGGGCCTCAGCCAACACCATGAGTCTTTCCTGGCTCCCCCCTGAAAAACCAAATGGCATCATCTTGGATTACGAGATTAAATACCATGAGAAGGTAAGAGCCAGTGTAAGTCAATGAAGCGAAGGGCATTCAATCACAATTCCACCACTGTCATCCTCTGCTCTATACATAATCGTTCATCCTGACAACAGCATCAACCCTTCCTCCCTCTCTTTCTCTCTCTCTCGTACCCTAACACTCGTCCCTAACTCCTTCCTTGATTCATCCCCTTCTTTTGAACCCTGATACCGCAAGGCAGTAGGAGCTTGGCAGGGATGGAGGCAGGAGGATTTGCATAGAGGAGAAGAAAGGGCCAGGCATATCTGCTTCATGTTTGATGTGTTGTACTGACAGATTAAACCAGAGCTGCCAGACGCTTGCTTTTGGGTGCTGGCTGGTTTTATATGACTTGTTTTATCACTGTTCCCACAGGACCAGGGAGAAGCTATTGCCCACACCATGACAGCCCAGCGTAGCTCGGCACGCATTGAGGGTTTGAAGCCGGGCACACCATATGTTGTGCAGGTTCGAGCCCGAACAGTGGCAGGGTATGGCCGCTACAGCAGCCCTACTGACTTTAGCACCAACCACCAGGGTATGTAAAACAGCCTATGTTATCACATAAAAACAATTTTCTTTCAAAGCCTATCATGCAATTGTATGAATCTAAGAGTATAAATACCTCTCATAGAAAAAGAAAAGCTATAAATAGATCCGAGAAATACGATTCTCTTGAATACATCCCATGATATCTCTCTTTGTGCCTCTCACACAGCCGATGCAGACAAGACTCTACAGGAGCAGTTACCTCTCATTGTGGGTTCTCTGACAGCAGGGCTGGTCTTCATCATTGTTGTTGTGGTTATTGCCATTGTCTGCCTCAGGTAAATGGTTCGATTTTTCACTTACCTTAATGACATTCACAAAGAGTAGAAGAAAGAATTAGAAGTCAAAGTATACCTATGAAACATTAGAATGTTTTGAGTGCATACGCAATTTAGTTGCCCATAATGCTTCCTTAGAACCTATCTGACAATTAATGAAAGCAGTTTGAGAATCAGATTCATTCTGGGTTGTCAGTTATTTTGGATCTTGTACTTGGTAAATTGTAGCCAGTGGTCTCAAATGTGCATGTACCCTACATTGGAATTCCGCAGTGTCCCGATGATCGTTGGCACTGGCACTTTCCATCTTATGGCCACCTTCCCATTTCCACAGTTGAGGGCAAGGCAGCTGTGTATTTAAAGCCTTATCAAGCAAAAATTCAAAATTTGCACTCTTTTTTTCTAATCAGCACAGTGTGTCTCTGTATCTTAACTTGTCTGCGATTGAAAAAATGTAGGCCTTGGCATATTCCGGAACTGAATTTGAATTGGAAATGAGATACAAATCACCAGCGGGTATTATTGGCCCGGTTACTAGTTAGACAACAAAGGGATTGCATTAATATGTACTAGAGGGGGGTTGGGTTTGTTGAAATTGCATTGCATTTAATGGACTGATAGTGGAAAAAGTGTGGAGGAAGGAATTAAGAGACGGGAGAGTATTAAACAATGTGGCAGTAAAGATCCCTTATTATTTAACCTAAGCAAGACAACCAATGCTGCTACTGTTGTTCTTAGCTGTCTTTATGCAGATTTGACTTCCGTCATAAAGTGACAAGGGTCTCTTGAGGCTGATTCTGTTGTTATCCTAATTTTCATATTATTCTCGTTCTTTAATCGACCTCAATTTATATCCCTAAAGGAGCTGGCAGGGAAAAAACAGGTCCTTTTCAAAATGCATATTTTCCTACATTAAGATCATCAACCTTTTGTAACTGACTGTATTGTCTTTGGTTCACAGGAAGCAACGCAATGGCTCAGAATCAGAGTACACAGAAAAACTGCAACAATACAGTAAGTCTCTACAGAGTTTACTTTCCATCTGATGACTAACAGTGCTATAAATATTGTGTATTATAACAGTGTGATTCATATGGCTATTCGCACTATTGAATCCCCTATAGTCACTCCGGGGATGAAGGTCTACATTGACCCATTCACCTACGAGGACCCGAATGAGGCCATCCGCGAGTTTGCCAAAGAGATTGACGTTTCCTGTGTGAAAATCGAGGAAGTCATTGGCGCAGGTAACCAACAACACAAGCTCCTGAGCAACAGGGGGAAGACAGCTAGGCACACCCAGGCCATACCTTTAGAGGACTTCACACCAAGCGGTATTTCAATCAACTCATCCCGCTCCAAAATCCAAAACCTTAGCACCTTACCAACGTCTCTAACAGCTTTACTTACAAAATGGAGCTTCTGAGGTTATCTTCAGAGCTAACTATAGAGCTACCATTCCTGCTAACTTACCAAGCCTGTCCTGAGCCTGATGATACCTATCGGACAATTAAATGTCCTCTTGACCCTGTGACCTGTTAACTTCTCCGTCCATGGTGCTTCTACCTGCCCTTGAGACCACTCCCCTTTGTTTTTGTAAATGTCCTACATCTTAACATTAGCAGTTTAGCTTCTAAAAGCCAAAAAGAAAAAAGAAGTAGGATTCTGGCTCAGTATGACTTGTAGCCATGTTGTAATGAGTTGAAGAGCCCCATCTCAGACTCCAACAAACAAGGCTTTTAACATCTAACGCTGCTACCTGAACCTGTTGTTTCCTAGCTTTGTCTAAAGTGATGAACCCCTACCATGTCCTCCCCTGACCCCTTTGTTTCTCTTGAACTTGCTTACACATTGGCCTAGACTGCAGACGCAAGCTGTCCAATCCTCCCAAGCTTCTGTCTCCACCGACGTCCCACATTTCTACCCTCACTCCCTCCAGACCCTAGCATTCTCTGATTGTACCCTTTAACCCTTCCTCTGTTGCCTTACTTTTCCCATTTCCTCTTTGGTACCCCAACCCCCAACAACCCTCAAGACCTTTTCCCATTGAAGCATTGCTGATCTCACCCTACCCCTTTCCTCGCCCCCTGGATACACTCCAATAGCATCACCTTTAGCCCTGGCTTCTCTTGCTGTCTCCCCCGCTTCCCCCTGGCTCCTTGATTCTAACCAGTAACTGTCCCTCTCCCCTTTCTCTCCCACACTCCTCCACTCTTCCCTCTCCTCTCTCCACTCCACCCTTTCTTCCTCTCTCTCGTCTGTCTACTACCTATGTAGGAGAGTTTGGAGAGGTGTGCCGTGGCCGTCTGAAACTCCCTGGACGGCGTGAGATCATTGTGGCCATTAAGACTCTGAAGGCAGGCTACACGGAGCGCCAAAGAAGAGACTTCCTGAGTGAGGCCAGCATCATGGGCCAGTTCGATCATCCTAATATTATCCGCCTGGAAGGGGTGGTGACGAAGAGTCGGCCAGTCATGATTGTCACTGAATTCATGGAGAATGGAGCGCTGGATTCCTTTCTCCGGGTTAGAGATGCTTACCACTATACAATTAATTCTTAATGTTTTTTTTTTTTTTTTAGTTTGATGCCTAAATTCCTGTTGTGGGATATGTATGGAAATGCAAGTAATACTTAAAGCACTGGTCTCAAACTCAATTCCTGGAGGGCCACAGCTCTGCACAGTTTTGCTCCAACCCTAATAAAACACACTTGATCCAGATAATCAAGGTCTTCAGGATCACTAGAAACTTCCAAGCAGGTGTGAGATGGAGCTGGTTGGAGCTAAACTCTGCAGAGCTGTGGCCCTCCAGGCATTGGAGTTTGAGACCACTGACTTAAAGTGATCTACTTCATGAAACAAATACCACAATGTTGCAGTCTAGCATAAGTTTTAGCCCCCCCCCCCCTGTTAGTTTTCTAAAAAAGATGTTCTTTCTAAAAAGAGATGTTCTCACCTGTCCCCTTGAAAAACATCCTAAACTTTCTAGACAGCGATGACAAATAGCGTAGATGCTAGCTGTGACTTTGAGAGATGAATCATCTGGCTGATGAGTCACATCCTGGAAAGTTAAAAACACTTAGACAGTGGACATTTCTGTTATGAATGGGTCTGTGATTTTTCCCACTCTCTCCAACAGCTAAATGATGGACAGTTCACAGTCATCCAGCTCGTTGGTATGTTGAGAGGAATTGCAGCTGGCATGAAATATCTGTCCGACATGAACTACGTGCACCGTGACTTGGCTGCCCGTAACATTTTGGTCAACAGCAACCTGGTGTGTAAGGTGTCCGATTTTGGCCTTTCTCGTTTCTTGGAGGATGATCCCACCGACCCCACCTACACCAGCTCATTGGTCAGCATTCAAGTCTTGATCCTTTAATATTTATATAACAATGACCAGCTCCCATTTGAGATTAAAAAAACATCGTATGCTCTTGCATCTGTAGGGAGGAAAGATCCCTATTCGTTGGACAGCACCAGAGGCTATAGCTTATAGGAAGTTCACCTCAGCCAGTGACGTCTGGAGCTACGGCATTGTGATGTGGGAGGTGATGTCGTATGGCGAGCGCCCATACTGGGACATGAGCAACCAAGATGTAAGTTTCCTCTCTTCTTTACCTCTGTTCAACTTATTTTGAGGGTAAACTAACACCAAACAATAATATTTTTTTTCATCAACAGGTGATCAATGCAGTCGAGCAGGACTACCGACTGCCCCCACCTATGGACTGCCCCACTGCCTTGCATCAACTCATGCTAGACTGCTGGGTGAAAGAAAGAAACTTGAGACCCAAGTTCTCCCAGATCGTCAATACCTTGGACAAACTTATTCGCAATGCCGCCAGCCTTAAGGTGGTCACCAGCACACATTCTGGGTAAGGGCATATATGGACATATTAGCGTGTTAGTTAACATGTTTGCATCCCATCAACTAACCAATAAAAAAAGATGTTCACTCATTTTAGATTCAGAATTAGGCCAAAGTTACAGAGGCATTTGAATTAAGAGCCTATTGATTCCAGATCATTTTCAATTGACAAACAATATTGTAAGCTGAGGAACTCTGACGTTATGGAAATTAAGATGACCTTCAGTCAATAAAACATTCGGTTTAATTGCACCATCACAGGGCTATCGATTGTTTTGCCTGAGATGCTTGTTCTGGTCTACACTTACTAGAGCCTTTTTTTGTTTGAGATATTTAATTACATCAGCTGCCTTCCAGATGAAGTCACTATATATCAGAATTTTGCTCATTGATCAGCATTTTTGCACATATTTGATTGTTTTAGTTAGATACACTGTAATTGTTTGCCAAAAGCTTCAGGAATATTTTGACCCACCTCGGGGTGCCTGCCTCTCGGCTCTAGGTCCTGTGGGAGGGCCTCTAACAACCAGGAAACAGTGGGAGATACTTTGTCTACTCTGCAATGATCAGAGGATAAAGGAACAATCATTAGTTAATGTAATTCAGAAATGGGAATGGTTTTAATTAGCAAGTAACGAGATTGTAAAAGGTCAATGGAGAGGTGGCCTGCCTGCTGAGTCTAATGAAAGACTGAGAGATGGGGCTCCTGTTGTTGCAACATTTGATGCTCTGTGTACTATCTTCGGTGATCAATTCCTTAACTAAACTAAGGAGAGTTTAATTAGTTAATAGTTGCGCTCAATGCTGAGTTAAGGGTAGTTTAGTTATACATTTGTTCTTTTAGTTTCCTCATACAGTTTCCCTGTCTCGCACTTAAAGTCAACGTCCCTAAGATGTGAGAGCCAGACCAGCTCTAACAATGCCCCATTAAGAAAAGCTGCCTTCCAGGTTAATGACCACAAACCCTTTAGCCCTAAAGGCAGGAGCTTATTAAAAAATCACTCTTCCCATCCATCTACAGACCTTGTCCTCAATAGAGCCTCTGTTCCTTTCTTATTAACTTTTTTCTTATGCTTTTAATTGTTAATTAATCTAATGCCATCAAAAAACAGCTAGGTTCAGCAGAGCAGAGAGCTTGCAGACAGAAGTGTCTTTGCTCTAAAACTTTACCTCGCTATCCCCACTGCCCAGACCTTACTGTTAGTTATTAAGACCCCAATCTACTCATAGATCAAGTCTGGTCTCTGTTGGTTTTGTCTGATCTAATTTAAGTTGGCTGATTTTATGCATGACATTAAATTTAGTTGCGCTATAGTGCAAAAAGGATATTTTTGTGTGCATGCAGGCAAACGTGATTGAACTAAAATTTATGTTTCTTTTGGACCAATAAAGGAGGTGGTCAACCTACTTGGATAAATCAAGTCATGCATAAGCAAGTGATTTTTTTTGAATTAATGTAGAATTGGAGCATGCCAAGTATCGATACATCTTAAGTCCAGACATTTGCTGCTTCATGCGGACCCACACCCACAGCATAATTGCAGTTCTCTCTGGTGGGCCCCTGCACGTCTCCAGCCAGTAAGCCACAGTGGCAGGTTCAGGCCCTACAGGCCAGGAGAGGTGGTGGTGGTGGTGGGGGGTTTGGGGGTGAGGTTTCGGTGGTGGAGGCCTGGCGTGACCTAAACCTCTCTCTCTCTCTTTTTATCTCCACTCCTCTCTTTCTCTGTAGGGCCTCCCAGCCGCTCCTCGACCGCTGTGTGCCTGACTACACCACCTTCACCACTGTGGGCGACTGGCTGGACGCCATCAAGATGAGCCGCTACCGAGACAACTTCCTTAATGCTGGCTTTGCTTCTTTTGACTTGGTGGCCCAGATGACTGCAGAGTGAGTGTCCGGTTCATTTGTTGGATTGCTCATCTTTGTTTTGGTGGTCTCACATTAGTTTGAATTCAATGCACTGTGCACTTGTGCAACTTCTAATTGTTCTGAAGAAAAAAATAAGTAAGGGTAGTTTCATAATGATGCTTGTGGTGTGGACCAATTGTATAGAATCAAACTCTGGTTCGGACCAAGCAACCTAAAACAGAATTTTAACAGGGAATTAAAGATACAATAAGGAAATTCAATATTTTAGTGATCAGAACGGGGTTAGTGATAGAGTTTTCGAGCATGTGATTATTACCCTCATCTCGCTTTAATTTATTGCAACATTTCATCCTCAGAAAATGTCATGAACAAAGTATCTTACAAAGGTCACATTCTAGAAAATAAATCCATGATTTGTCGCTATATTAAATGTCTAGACAGATGTGAAGAGAGCGGTTGGGATCAAATAAACGAATAAAGAAAAAAATATATAAATTCATCACGCCCATTAAAGTGTAATAAAGGACGGAGGCAGGGGTAATTTGTTTCAATTTGGCAACTTGACAGGTGGACCAGTTGGTGGTTTTCTCGTGCTCTTAATGACTAGTAATTCTCCTAATGGGCTCCATTTATTATCATTTTATCCAACATTGTTGGCTTGATGAGACCAACAGAGGAAAAAGAGAGAAAACACTTTTATATTGTGTGAAATTACTCTGCTAATGTCGTGCGATTGTAGAGATGAGAAGGGCAGACAGACTGGGGGCCGCCATGGGGCTCTTGCTCCCTGACAACGTCCTCTTTGCTTATCAGAAGGTGAACAAAAAAAAAGTAAACGACAAGCGTCTGCACTAGCTTTTAGCTACACGTGTTGCTGTGTAAACTAAAACCTCATGAAGGGATTAGGTTACCTCAGCCAATGAAACAACAGGAAGCATTTTTATCATAAAGCCCGTGGTAACATTTACACCACACTCATTCTAAAGTATAATGACTGTCTGTTGTGCAGTGAAAGTCACGTCTGTGGTTACACTAATAGCACTTTCTTCATGTGAAATCTGACATCTGGTAGCCTTAGGTGCAAACCCTTGCAAATCATTGACCAGCGCTTGACCTATCTCCAGTTTGAGAACTGGCTTTGCACCACAAACTTGTCTCAGTTCAGTAGCTAAAGGGTGGGGTTGTTCTATTTGCTCAACCTAGCGACAATTTGCTAACGGATTTGCTCACCTTGCTACATTCCCATGGGATTTTATCGCTTCAATAACATCAATTCTGTCCTCTCTTTTAGAAACTACTGTGTTATTTATTGTATAACAGTGGCAATACTGTTTTTCCTCTTGTTGTTTTCTACAGAGACCTGTTACGGATAGGCGTAACATTAGCCGGCCACCAAAAGAAGATTCTCGGCAGCATTCAAGACATGAGACTGCAAATGAACCAAACGCTGCCCGTCCAGGTCTGAGATGTGGGGCGGAGCTGTTCTAAAGCGAACTAACAGACGACCCAGATCATCTCCACTAATCAGATGAAACTGGCTCGCAGTGCCTCGGACAACTTTTTCTTTTCCATTTTCCTGTTTCCCTGTAACGACTGCATTATTTTACACCCGACAGGATTAGATAAGATTATTTTGTACTTATTTTTAAGAACGGAGAGGAAAGCCTGTATCCCATGCATGCCTCACGAGGCTCCGGTGTGGGATTGGCGATTGCATGCGTGCGTGTGGTATTTTCTTTCGTGAGGCTGGCTGGGAAGCCTCCCATAATGCATTTCTCCCTGAAACTGACTCTGAGGGACGGACTCTCCCGGATGGACATTGCTTATGGAAGAGATACTCCTCTAATAGTACACATAACTTGAAAATAAAAAGACATAAACTAGACGTGAATAAAAATTCACGAAGTGTGTGGACACGATTGTGCAGAAATCCCTCCAATGCTAGCAGATGTTCTATTGTGCGTGTGATTTTGTGCTTATTCCCCATCTTCATATTGAAGGTGTTTTATTTAAGGGCACATGCCTCAAACGGACAGGAGAGAGAGGCACAGCCGAGGGCGAAAGATCACGGATGTTGCAGGACCGGATTTGAGGAACTTGCATTTGTCCACCAGGTTTAAACTGACAAAAGGACTTCTTAGAATATACCTGGTGAACTCAGGATGCTTTCATAGTTTCAAATAATGGATTCTCAGCTGTGTTTTCACAATTTCAATCGATGTTTTCTTTTATTCTCTTCTGTTGTTTTCCCTCAACCTGTTTAGTTTCTGTTCCACGATGAGTTGAGATTTAGATGGTCATCAGTCATTATATCAGGATTCTTTAGCAGTTAGAAGGACTGTGATAACCTGTACTACACTGCAAGAATTATTTTTTTTTAAATCAGTAAATTTGTCTTTTACCAGGACAAATATCATAACATTCTTGAAACAAGATAACTTTGAGAAAACTGCGCAATATATTAAGACGTGTTTGCAGAGAACATTTTTTCTTTGTCAAATTCTTAAGCATAAATCTAACTAAATTCAGTTTTATGTTTTAGACATAAAATAAGTCAAATTAATGCAGTTTTGCCTAATACATTTTCATCTTGTTTTGAGAATGTTGACAAAATACTGATTTAAAAAAAAAAAATAAAATAAATAAAATAAAAATATATA